CAAAACAAGAGTTCATCTATATCTTAGCAATATAAAAATCTACATAATATTGAAATTAATTATGCAAAAGTGGAACGACATCATTGGAAATTGACGAAACGTGAACAAATCTGGAATTTTACACACACACATAACCTAAACCACCAATATTTTAATACAACTAAAAGTTCAAGTTGAGGCTCAATTAATTCCAATGCCTAATTAAATTAATACTTGCTTCAAAATCGTCCATTTTTTTATACAATGCAAGTTAGTCCTTATATTTTAGATTTTGTCATTGTTGCCATCTTTTGCTTCTTTCCTTCAATTCCTTTTCCATTCATAGGATTTCACTTATTAAACATAAAATACAATAATTTAGAATATGCTTTGTCAAAAAAAATTATCAAATATTGTTATTTTAGGTTCCGAATAAGTGTAAAAATTATCAAATACCAACAAAGATGGTAGGTTCTAAAGTTTTCAATTTTAGAAATGTTGTAGTCTAAAAATCAGCTCCTGAAAAGTGATCTTGGGAAACTCTCTTGTTAAGGTAAAATCCCATGATCGATTAGATACGAAAACATTGTGTACGACTACTCCTCCAAATAATGTTGACTTTTTAATATAATGTACTAAAGCCCAAAAAGTTCAAACAAATAGCTCGATCCGTCTAAAGCTCAAGTCAGCGGTGGAATTTAAAGATTGATAGTGTCAAGCGAGCCACCATCTTGAACTATCTCTTTTATCAAGGTTCACATTTTAAGACGGAATCTCTAGGTAAAAAGTGAGCTGGATTTAAAATTGCCTAGTTTAGGAGTTCCGTTACAGAACTGATTTTTTTTTTGGGGTATATATTTGTTTCCATTTTGTGGACGAAGTTGTTAAATGACCATATTATGTAAAAGCTTAACTATTAGAGATACGAGATTGTTTATTTATATTTAAAAGTAACGTTCTTTCTGGATTTTTTTTTTTTTTTNTTTTTTTTTTTTTGAAAATATAGTCGAGGGTTTAGTTTCGTACAAAATGCTTTCCAAGGCTCGAGTGGAGATCCCAGCCTTCCAGCGCCGTATACTTGGGAGTTGGGACTGGATCAATTGTAGCAGTGATGTTTGATGAATGGCAAGTCGATAAACCAGGCTACCATCATTTAAATTTGTTCGGCGCAAAAGTACGGTTGTGACAGCAAGAAAAAATGTTCAAGGTTTGCTACTGTGTCCTACAGCGACATCTGATCCAAACTCTGAGGCACATATCTATCACAAATTACTTGATTTGTAACACTTAGGGGTGAGAAACAAAACTAAGATTTGATTTGTACTTCTAGTTACGTTTTATAGGACAAAATGAAGGAGCTCCAATGAATGAGTTGAAGGTGAACATTGAGGAGCAAATAAAACGAAATTCAGGTTAGACCCTGTTACTGTAATTTTTGTGAAAATTTTATTGCTCAAAAGTCAAACGAACAAATAATTTCTTTTGACGAAGAAAATGAACAATGTTTTATCCTTTTTTAATTGATTGTGATTAATAAATTTCTGGCACAGATATAAATTCATATTATGTATATTGGCTATGCCGAAATTTTCAATTTGGTGAGTTTTACACATCAAATACTTTAATTTTACATATATATGGAAGGTGACTTCTTCAACTGTGGCTTATTTAATGCTAGAGGCAGAGTTCAGGTTTTTCCAGAGTTGTGTAATTCATTAGTTCCTCCAGTTTCTTGTCGAACAATTTCCTCAAGTTCTTCCAAATCCAAATCTGGAGCCATAGCTTGCTCATTTTCGTGCACTCTATCTGGGATTTTATGTTCATTGGAATTTGCGTTGTCATTATCATGATCAGGATCATCATGTGTGTTATATTCGCGTTGTTTGATAATTTCCTCAAGTTCTTCCAAATCCATTTCTGGAGCCATAGATTGATGAATTTGATTTGCATTACTAACGGGAACATAGTCTTCATCAGAGTTTTGCTCGAAATCTTCTTCCATTGATGGCTCCATTGGTGCACTAGGTCGTGGTTGTGGCCTAATGAGTTGTTCTATGCTCGCCTCTACTGAGGTGCTCTCTGAATTCATTTTTGGAGGATTCTCAGGTCCTCCAGATTCAGGACCTGTTGCTTGATTCTGTCCTTGGTGTGCTCGTTTTATTCGGATTAACCAATATAAGAGAGCCACGAGTATCATAATGACAACGAGAGATAATCCCACTGATAGTCCAATGATCAAGGCTGTAGTTTTTTTATTCTTGTGAGAAGCATCTAAATTCGTATTTCCTTCGACACTGCAGAGGTCAAATGTTGAGGATACAAACATACCATGTTTTCTTGTCTGAAAATGGTAAAAGAGGTCTACTTGTATGTAATTCTTTTATTGTTGGATATGCTAGAGGGAATTTGTCCAGAGAAGTCATTATATCCCAAGTTGCTTGAGAGACAAAAACAAAGGATTGGACATGTCAATACTCAAATACATGGGAATATTTTCTCTGTTTATGTCTAAACAATATCACAATTCTAAAACTTGGACTTACAGTGTCTTTAGATTTGGTAGATTTCCGAGGAACTCTGGAATCTGCCCGTAGAGACTGTTGTTACTTAGATCTCTGCAACAATAATAACAAAAGAAACAAAAATTGTTTTGGGTAATATGGGATTTAAAAAATTGAGAATTATTTAGTTTTATGTGTACTAACGACTTGCATGTTTTCAAGGGCCTGCATTTGGCTAAAATCTGGGAGGAAGCCACTCAGATTATATCCGGACAGATTTCTGCAGAAGTTTTGAAAAACTTTAGGTCATCATTTGCAATGGAATTTCCCGTCAAGATTGCACGATAAAATGTACGTATAGATAAGTAGACGAACATTGATGTTACTCTGGGAGGATCACTGCCTGTGCAGCCCAACCATTGCCATGCCGTGTGTGTGGGGAGACATGGTTCCCCACTCCACCCCTTCAATTGCTCGAATGTATGTACGAACACTGTCAGTCCATCAACTGCTCGAATCATCCACAGATATGCAAATTATCAGACATAATTACTCGTCAGTATATTATGTGTCTGTATGTGATGGATGCCACCCCGGGGAATGAGAAGCAAGGTGTTTTATAACTATGGATTGTACGCATTATTGGATAGGGCTCGATAATACTAATAAAGAAAAAGAAGAAAAAATTTTGTTCATTATATTGTGCAGTTATATTTAATACCGTGTACCAAATAAGCACTTAGTCCTTACGGTCATCCTGCAATGTTCTGGTTGTAACAAGTGGATCACTGGCTGTGTACACTTCGATAGCACTGATAATTGGGGGCAATTTCGAAGTTTTTGTCGGTCGCAATTCAATGGTTAAAGAGCTGCTAAAAGGAGTTACAAGGGCCCATACTCCTGTGCATGTCCCATACTCAGTGGTCACAGTTGCTAGTTGCTTATTCCCCACATAAAACCCGAACTCTCTCGTCTCTGTCACCTCGTCCAATGACATTGCAGTGAAATACGCTTCAATATTGATTAGGCTGTTTGTTTTAATAGGTCCAAAAGATAGAGTAATCGAGTCCGTAGCATTTTGAGCCTCCATAGCATCTAAAACAGCTGAATCTGGTGGATACTCGTAAGGTGTAGAAGTTAAAATTGTTCCGGGATCAGCACTCGTATTCACCAGGCCAAGTTGAGCCATTGGCTCCCACAACCTGTTGTACTTATCAGGGTACCTAATGGAAAAAGAGAAGACAATCCAAGTTCTTAGGTTTACATACACATTTTGTATACAAGACATTTTATGAATTTAGAATCTATTCTCACCCCAGGATCCAGTCGTTGGCACCATAATTATACCGGTAGCTATTGAGCCAGGCTAGATCTCGATTCATATGGATGTACATATTATTATCAAGAATTGGCCATGCTTCTAACGAGGAAATAAATGGAAATTGGTTCACCATTGTTTGCGCTAAGCATACGCTAATAGTATCTCCCATGCTAGTATAAATGATCTCATAGTGGAAGATTTCCGTGGAGGAGCTGACAACAGTCATCCATTTATTTCCATCGATCTCAAGATCGAAATTTGGTGGCTTTGATAGGCGATCATAATTGCCATATAGAAAGGTGGCTCTGATGAAATATCTGGTGGTGGCGAGTGCTGGAAGCGCATAGCAATTTTTGTTCTGCGTTGTGAAGGCTCGGAGGGTGTTTAGCAGACCCAATGTTTGGAAGTTATCACTCGAAACAAATTGGTTAGTGCCTGTTTTAATGAATGCTTCATCTGTTTGCCACACTCCTCCTATATTTGCGGTGCTAGTTTCTGATCCACAGTCAATCCCCAGCCAGGTATCTAGAGAATTTAAATACAAAATTATAGCTCTCATGAAAACAAGAAAAATATTTCTGCTTTAGATCCTCCTCCAAGAAATATCAACAACAGAAAATAAGAACAACAAGAACTAAAGGATTTACAAGGAGAACTTCAAAATTATTGATATCTTAGGTCGCATGAGCAATCGGATTTCAAGATTGGTTCTCAAATAAGCCACCGTCTTGTGGGGTACGCTAATGGTAAAATCTCATATTGAATAAAGATAGAAACATTAACTAACATATAAGGAGTTGAGATACTCCTCTTAACAGGTTCGACTTTTTAACCCAAGTCTTAATAAGAACAAACAAATCGAACGAGAAGAGAAATTACAACTACCTTGAGCAAAGGCTTTGAGATTGAACAGAGCCAAAAACAGCAGAACCCATTTCTCCATTGAAGTCTATGCATATCATCTTTCCATCAAAATGAAATGAACTGAATTTAAAACTCTGCTTCTTGTTGTTGTCAAACTAGCTGTTCACTTCTTTGGATAATTGCAATCGAATTGAAACTTTTTCCTGTGTCTTTATCAGCATTGTCCAAGTAACTTAGAGACAAAATTATCCAATCAGATAGAGATTTCAATATTTTCTTTTGCAGTTATAATATTTGTTCAAGGTTAATTTACGCGGTTTGTACACAAGAAAATTGTTGTATGGATTTATTGGATGATATGGTGGTGTTGATGTTAACTGTTTTAATCAAATAATAAATATGTACCAGTCTTTTCACAGGACAAACGGAAGAAAATGTATCTGTAGTATTTTTTTCTCCGAAACTCCATTTGGAGAACATAAAATATTTCAAAAACACCCAACGGACTGATATAGTGCAGGGACGGATGGATAACACAATCCTTTTCATTTAAGCCATAAAATCATACTTCAACTTCACCATAAAATTCTTTTTCATTAAATGTTCAATACATGAGCATAATTTTCACACATATATATATATACAGAAAT